TGAATGATTTTGACAAGGCTCTCTGGTGATATGTTGGTATATGAAAAAAAGAGGAAAATTTAACTATTAATTTGCCTATTTTTCTTCTTATCTTCCCATCCATTTCAAAATTAAATCTTGAAGGGATATCTCAATTCGTTCATGAGAAATTTACAAAACCAACATGTCAAAAAAGACAAAAAAAGGAAATAGGATGTCTTGTAATGTTTAATTAAAGAATGAAAACATACACTGACCTGTCAAATTCAAAATGCTAACCAGGTGGCCATATTGTTTTTCTGAGTCTTCTCCAAATTAAATAAGTACATATCAGGAAAAATTAACACTACAAATTGTATAGTGAGTATAAGATCAGACTAGCACCCCACTAAAAAACCAGACAAGACCAAAAACATCCATGGAGATATCATTAATACCATTACATAACAGCATTATCATAATGGTTGTAAATACTTTTAAAACAGAAGTTGTCTGCCTTTGTTTTCTATTCTCCTTCAACTTCTCCTCTATAACAATATCTTCTTCTGCATTACTGATAGGAGCATCACTTCCAGAACCTTGGGTTGATGTGAAATTGAAAGAGTGAGGAAGATTTGTTTGGAATGCTGCTGTGGACTTTTGCTGATAACTGTTGACTTTGGTGTTTATCTTTGCTGGGCGTTTCCTTCCCAAATCATGAAGTGATTTGTCTTCTTCAAGAGTATATGCATCCCAAAATGAACGTTTAGTACCCACATTTTGTGTGCATGATTTTTGAACAACCTGAAAATGGTCAAACTCAGTATTTCAATAAAGAGAATTATTTTTCAACCTTCCAGAATATTGTGAAGCAAAAACATTTCTTAATTAGAATCATTCTGAGATCTCAAGACTACTATGTTCACTATTGATCCATACTGATTCCATGATTCTGATATTTTGTTATCTTTTCTCTTCAAGGTGTTATGGCATTTTTTGTGTTGACATGTTTATGAATTATGTGGAAATAATGCTGAAGAAGAAGAACTTCAAAATTAAATTTTAGAATGCTCTATACAGTGCTTCCTGATAAATAACTGTTATGAAGTGTCAAAAGTCATTCTGGTCAACATCTGACCATAAACTACATATATGGCAACCTTACAAGGACCTTTCTTAGCAAAATTAGTGACTGAAATTGGGGACGCTCTTTAAGGGGTTTTTTCATTTGTGGTTAAGAATTCACTGTATTAATTTGCTGGAAATTTGTTGTCTTGCTGAAATTGTGAAAGTTAGCTGCGTGATAAATGAGAAACAAAAACATAAATAGATCTATGCGATAACAATTTTCATTTGAAGTGATGGGATAGCTTGACCGGCAAAGCTTACATGTTTGTTCACAGCAATGATATTTTGGCCTCCAACAGGTATTGACACCGTAAACTGAGGGACAGATTTGAAAACATTCCCAGCAGCAAGATGTGCATCATAACTCATCACTTGATTCTGAAACATGTAAGCATTACAAAATTGACAGAACTTGTATAATAATCTTAACATATGAAAACTTCTTAGTAAAATATATCTGGCAGCAGTACAGGAGAGACTTTGCAACACATTTATATTTAAATAGGGAAATTTCTTCAAAGGAGATTATTATGATTTGTATGTTGAAGTTCAATGAAAACTTGAGGCCAAATGGGCTTGAATGTCCAGCTTAAAAAGACCTTGTCATTTCTTCAAAACTTAAAATCCCATTTCCCAGGCATTCATCTACACATATACCATGACCTAGGGACTTTTTATTATTGAAGTGCGGAAATTAAAACTTCATGACTGATTTGACCCCTGTTATCTTATAAGTGAGTCAGGGTCATTCATTTGATCAAACTTGTTATCCATTTATTCCAGCATGCTACAGGACCAATATCAGTACCTGGAGCCTTTTGATCATTGAAAATAAGACATTCAAATATTTTAAGACATTTGACACCTGTGACATTAAAATTGGGCCAAGGTCATTCATTTGAACATACATGTTAACCCTTTATCACAACATGGTACAGAACCAATAGCAGTACCTTGGACCCTTTAGCTATTGAGATAAAAGTTACCTATAGATATTTGACCAGTGACATTTAAATTGGTTAAGGTCATTAAATTTATCAAATTTGGTAGCCCTTAATCAAAGCATGCTACAGGCCTATTATCATTACCCTGTGACTTTTGGATATTCAGAAGAATTAGTTTTAAGATTTTGACACATTTGACACTGGCAACATTGACAACTGTTTAAGGTAATTCATTTGAACACACTTTGTAGCACTTAATCCAGCATGCTACAAGCCACATATCAGTACCATGAAACCTGTGATATTCAGATAAATCAGTTAAAGGAAATGTTGACAAAAGACAAAAGGACAATATTTTTAATTACCGACACTGCTGACACTGTGCCAAGGCATTTCTGACATTTATGCTTCAAATTAATCCAAGAGACAGTGTAGCAAATCAATTTTGAACATTCCAAATGAGCAATCAGTATACTAATGAAAATTTTACAATCTGTTTGTTGAAGACTACTATCAATTTTGTATATAGGAAGGTCAATGGGTCCCTATAGTGGACATGTAATCAAACAAGATATACAATGGTCATATATTGCCATCAGCCTTGTATGACTTTAAAGAGACTACAGGAGACATACCATAGTTACAATTAATATGATCCAATACAACTACATGAACTATGAATTTAATTTCACTATACTCTTGCAATGAAAAGGTCACACATCATTAAATCTAGACTATCAATGATGTAGTTTCCAAAACATTTAGTACAAGAGGTCACCAAGATGTAGACCTTGCCATTCAGTAAATTTTCATTGAGAAACTATCACATTTTTCCATACTAATGAGGTATTCATGGTGTAAGAGTTGAGATGGCGTACAGAAGATCACCTGTATAATGTTGATTTCAATTTTCAGACTTGTAACCCTGTCCTCTATGACTTTATCCAGAGGTTCGCCTCTCCTGCAAATGACAAAGTGTATAATCACTAGCATGTATCTACACGCTTCGGTTAGTGAACAAAATCTCAATTTTTGAGCATACTTTTCATGTAATATCTTTGCATATACCTGAAATATTTAAGAAAACAAAACATTTCATTATGTTACCACTAACTTAACACAGAAATAATTCAACATCAGTAACTACACTGAAGGCCATGAAGAGAACATTTACTCACACTTTTAGATCTTAAAAGTACCCAGTATATGTGTCAGTAATAAAACCATTATATTGATTAACACTATCGATATTTGATCAAGATAAACTTTGTCTAAGCTAAGATAAATTTGATTTTCTGCCTTACATATTCTGAAACATATGCTTGCTTCTTTCTAGTTCTTGAATTTGTCTCTTTAGCTCCTGAGCGCAAACTGCTCCTCGGAGATGCAGCAGCTCCCGCTGAAGAAATTAAGCAAGTGAACAAATCAGATATATACATACAACAGGAAATTCTCCATCCATTCACATATCTCATGTAATGCTACTATTATAATTCCATATTACCATTGAGCAACTTAATGCTAAGGTATATTTAAATACAAGAAGCAAATGGGCCTTTAGGGTCATCTGACTATAAAGACCTATAAATGAAAGAGGCCAATTAGGCCTAAAGTAAATTTCTCAATTACACTACAGCTTTCATAGAACACATTGGAAGGTTTATAAAGACATTTTCTGCAAAGTTAAAATCATCTTCTTTACACATTCACTTCACAAATGCCATTATTCTGGACATATTACTTGTTGAAAAAGCATGCAATAGGCCCAATATCAAGACCCTTGGCCTTTTGGTTATCGAGAAGAATTTACTACAGCATTTCAATACATTTCACACCTGTGACCTTGACAGTTGGTCAAGGTGAACAAAATTGGTAGCCCTTCATCCAGGCATGTTACAGGCCAATAGCATCACCTAGGGCCTTTTGATTATTTAGAAGAAGTCGTTTAAACATTTTAACATATTTAACCCCATTGACCCTGAAAGCAGGTAAAGGTCCTTCATATTCACAAATTTGGTAGCCCTTCATCTCATCATGCTACAGGCTCAATATCAACACCTTGGGTCTTTTGGTTATTGAAAAGTAGTTTAAATAGTTTAATATATATGACCCCTGTGACCTTGAGTGTGGATTAAGGTAATTCATCTTAACAACCTCGGCAGCCCTTCATTTCATCATGCTAAAGGCCCAATATCAGCACCATAACCTTTTGGTTATTGAGGAGAAGTTGTTTAAGGATTTTAACATATTTGACCTATGTGACCTCGAAAGTAAGTCAAGGTCATTCATATTAACAAACTTGATGCCCTTTATCCTATGATGTTACAGGCCCAATATCAGTACCCTGAACCTTCTGGTTATTGAGAAGTAATATGAACAGAAAGTTTACCCATGGCAGACAGCGCACGACAATGGATAAAACAACATGGCTATAGGTCATCCTGACCCTTCGTGTCAGATATCTAAAAATTCTAAATGTCAACATATATTTCCATAAATTTCTATAAATCCTCATTTATTCATTATTTTCATTAACATTTTCTGTTTTAAAACAGCTACTGAAATGGTTATTCTAAATATATTCTATTGATGCTTACACTTGTATCTTACCCCATATAGTTGTACCTGCACGCAACTTCTTCCAAGAATCAATACTTTCAATTTGCTGTCAAAAGATTGAAATTTTCAACTGTCAGAATATGTATACAGAAACTTACTTGTGTAGCTATCAGGCTCTCAAGGTAGTCAGTAACAGGTTTTGTCATAATTTTCTTGTCAACAGTGCAGGCATCCAGGTCATGAGGTTTGACAAGTCCCCCAAATGACTTTTTGTCCTGAGATTCAGTCTGAGTGCCTTGTTCACTGTAAGTACCCCTTTCAGTCACAAAATAATCATTGTCATTTGAGAAACAGGAATCCATGGTATTAATGCAAACTTCACGAGTGTCACAACTAGCAGTCTCTGTGATGCTATCCACCTGTTGAATCCTGTGAGTGTTACTGGCTACATCCTTGTACTCTTTCCCTTCTGTCTGACAGGATTCCTCCTTGGTGGTCCGTTTAACATCCTGTACGTTAAATGGCTGAAAAGCAGGTGCATCTGGTCTCATGAAAGTCTTATTTTTCAGATACCTCCGTGGTTTGAATTCTGGAGAGATTGGATTTAATTGTGACGCACTATCACTGTAATCACTGGACTGTTCTGTACTCTCTGAATCACAATGAAATCTTTTCCCATTCATAACATTATCACTACAGTGGTTGGAGTTTTCATCTTTACTCTTGATATTTTGATTCCAGGCCATGTCCCAGGAGCTAGACAATACTAATGACGGCTCTGAAATTTGGTCCACTGGCTCCTCTTTCGAATCATGATCACCTACATCAATGTGATGACTGATCTGTTTGTCATCTGCTTCATCCTGATCTTTGAAGTTTTGGAGATAGCCTTCTACCAAGTCAAGCTTTTCAGAATCTGTTTTATCCTCACAACAGCTATTGTTATTTACCTCAACATCTGCCAGTTCTTCTTTAACATGTGCTGGATGATATCCTCCTGACAAGCCATTTTGCTCTGCGACCGCTTCACAAGCCTTTATGATAATTGTTTTTACAAATTCTTCAACAAGGACATCAAATGTACCATTACTTTTTTGTTCTTGTTTCAATTCCTCTGAACCAACACTCGTCATAATGGTTTTACACAGTTCTGATTCAAAAGTCGGATGATCAGGCAATTTCTTCTGTGCACCAGTTTTCTTGTTTTTTTGTGATGGCATTACTGCTTCCAAAACATAGTTCCTGAAAATTCCGATCTCTTCATCAGAAGTACTAGATGCATTCTCATCCTGAACAGTGATGAAATATTCACCTGTGTGGTCCAGGGAGCTTGTACAACTTCCTTTAGACCATGAATTAGCAGTAATTGAAATGACTTCATCCTTATTTTTTTCCTTTAATTCATGTTCCACACTTTCACTGTACACAACACATCCATTGATATCCTCTGAGGTCATCAAGTACTGATTAGATATTTTTCCAATGTTTTTTGCATAATAATTCTGTTCATAAATATTTTCATCAGAACTTTTTCCAGGTTCTGTTTTACTCATGGTACTGACAGTGTCAGAATCTGATATAGACTGCTGAGAAACATTTGTACACTTTATGCTTGCCTCAGTGGACGTAGTGGCACTATCATCACTCTCATTACTCTCTTCTGGTTCAATATGTGTCATTTGGAATAACATTTCAGGTACTTTTTCTCCTTTAACTTCCATATCATTCATGCTGGAAGTAAGATCATCACACAAAACCTGCCTTTGCTTTCCAGCACTGGCAAGTCCCTCTGCCCTAGTACAAATTTCAATTCCATACAATGATGCCTTGGCTTTGAAAACATCCTCTGCTGATGAAGAAGATGCTGCTATACCTTGACCTGAGTCTGAAATATGAATGTTAAAAATACTGTAAAAATAATGTTTGTAAAGATGAATTTTAGTCCTAATAATTATGTAAGAACATGCCTATATTTGCATTTGATTGCAATTTAGCCCTTTCAGCAGGATGTTTATTTAAGATATCTATCTTTTAGACCTCTCCTTGCTTAAAACTATGCCTTGTGATGTTACAACTGAACTGAAATAACACACTTACTTTTTATCGCTAATGAATATTGTATCCTACAGAGCAAAGATTGAATCCAGAGTGACAACTCCTGACAAAATTGGTCTACAGCAACAAATTCCGTTACCTTTCACAAACATTGACTGGTCATCTGGATAGCTTAGTGTGAGGCCATTTGTGGTGTCAGGTTTGGTTGTCAGTTCAGTGGATTCTCTGTAAAATAAAAGGATGAGATTAACATCTGACATAAAGACGGTAACCTAATGATAGCCCAAACCAAAAATGTAACGCAATGAAGTTCTCATGGAGGATGTACAACAGTGTTGATAATTTTTTATGAACTTTTAATAAATGGTATTACAATTGCTGTTTTCCACAGAGTATATTTGTAAGTAGCAAACATGAATAAGGTATTTGTCACAGGAACCAGGACCCACACTATGAGACAGCTCCACCAATCAATGTTTCAGAGGTTCTTTACAAAGTAATCTAGACTTTTGTCATAATTATTTCTTTTTCCATTGATCATAACACATGAAATGTAAATGAAGTATTGAACTACACATCCTATACTGCTTATGATGCACAGCGCTCAAACACTATATAATTATTTTTCATATTAATATTATTTAATATAAAACTGACACTAAAACTACAGCATTTTAATGGATAAGTTTGTGGATCTAAGTACCATCTTTATAATAAATAATATTATCTTGGTAGAACCTGTAAATAGTCACGTACTTAGAATATCATATGTACAAGATAAATATGTTTTGTGATGATTTGATAATGGAACCAGTATTATCTCACCCAAGGGATGGCGCTGAAACATTAAATGTTTGTATAGGAGACTTCAACGTGGGAGGCGTCATGGGGTGTTGTGGGCATGTCTGGGGTGATGAGACACTCATCACCTCTGGACCATTCTGGTATTGATGAAACAGTGATTGAATCTGGTACTGTTTGGGTCTATCTTGGTAAATCTGATTACCCTCTGTTTGGAACCCTCCTTGGTACCTGGGGTCCCCTCCTCCATTATACTGCTGATTGTTATGGGCTGGAGGAGACGGGCTTGTGTAGGACTGATAGGCCAGAGCAGTTGGATTTATTTCAATCCTTGTAGATGGTCGAGGGGCAACTTCTGCATAGGTACCTAAAAATATTGTCTCATGAATACAATGTTATAATGTAACTTTAATGACCATAGATAACTTAATTACAAAATTAATTTTTGTTTAGTTCAATAAAGATTTATAAAAATGCTTGAATTTATTTGATCTTCTATCTAATCTACAATAAACAAGGTTTTCCAGACAATACCAGTACCTACTTGTTGTTGAAGTTGTAAGAAAGGCAAACATAAAAGGAAATCTAGAGTGATTTAGTCTGTTTTATGAGCAAACCTCTCCATTGGAAATATATGTTAAATGTCTAAATTATTCCCCACAGATCTTATGCAGATTATGTCATTGCCAAGATCAGGTCAAGTAGACTTAAAAAAACTCCAGTGTTGTTTGTTTAGACTTTGCCATGTAAGATGTAAAACAAATGGGTGATGATTCATGATCATCAAAGTTAAATATCCGTCTGTTGGCCAATTTGTTTTTCTGATCAGTCTCAAAATTTCAGTGGCACAACTAGAGACCAAGGGAAACCTACAAATGAGATTTGAGAGAGGTCCATCAAGTACTTCTCAAGAAATAGAAAAAAAAAACTTTCAAAGTCAAAATCCAAGATGGCCCCCTTTTGGCCAGTTTGTTATTCTGATCAAACCCAAAATTACATGGGCACAACTTGAGACCAAGAGGAACCTACATTTGAAATTTACTTACTTTTCAAGACATAGTGATAACAGACTTCATTAAAAACAATCCAAGATGGCTGCCTATCGGCCATTTTGATTTTTTGATCAGGCCCAAAATCAAATGGGCACAACTAGAGACCAAGGAGAACCTACATATGACAGATGAGAAAGATCCATCTTGCACTTCTCAAGATATTGTGAAAACAATAACTGTGTATGAACGGATGGACAGATGACGGATCACAGATGCACAGCGATTAATAAATAAATAAACATATGAAAAACAGGGCACTAGAAAGTTTTTATCTGTTACAGAAAACATTGTACTGGTTTGACAGTTTCGTTTTTATCCTTCCTGAAGATGCAAGCAACCAAGTTAAATGTTTTCATGTTTTGTGTAAACACACTACTTTTTTAATGTACAGGTAAGTCACTTCTACAGAATGGTGACACTAATTAAGAAGTCAACCTTTAATTGGATAATTAAACACTTAATTAATCGCCAGTGACCAAGAGTTGTGTGAACAATGGACCGAAACGCCATAATTAGCCATGTGTTACGCACAGGTGTCTTTCTACATATATATACGTATTGACAGATTTTATCAGATGACATGCTGATGTTTTGACAAAAATTAATTTTGAGACAACGAATGACTTTTCCCTTGCTTTACAATTGAAGGGACTAAAAAATCGCTTTGACTAAACCGAAATTTTGACTCAATGAAATTTGAGTCATCCAAACTAAAATTACAAAGATAGAGAAGGAAAAAAATGAGACTTGATATTATTTTGAGTGATTTGGAGACAACCCGTTTCAACAGTATATGTTGGAATGAAAGGAATTTTAAGATTCATTTGTAAATTTAAATGCAAAACACAATCTGCATGCAAAAGTCACTCAAGAGGTGTTAAAATATGCATGTTATTTAATTAGAATCATCATGAATCATACATGTTTCTGCATTAATGGGAACACTGATTTTATTGACAAATAGGAGGAATACATTGCAATTTAACTATGATATAATGTAGATTTACAGAATCATGCATCAGACAAAATGCTTAACCTAAAGGACTCCTGTTAAAGTAGAACATTTTGTTGCAATTGTATCTTACCTACAGAAAAATGACAATTTGTAAACTGAGTTTTACTTTGGGCTCTAGTCCTTATAACTTACCTTGTAGATTCTGAGGTTGGAAAAATGTTGATGGCTGTATTTGCATATACTGTTGTCCACTGGGATTTGCAATGTATCCTGGACTGGTGATTGGCAAGTACCCAGATCCTGTTGGCCTCCCAGCTCCCTGTGCTCCAGGATGGGACACAATGGTTTGGAAGTACGTCATGGTGAATAGGATCACCAGGGTGTATACAACTCTACAACATCAAACCAATCTGAAAGTAAAACAAAACTTCAAAATTTTTTTCACAAAAATTTTCAATAACATGATATATAAACAAATATTCTGAATACATGCATTGTTGCACTTCATTTTTTTTCTGCCAATTCCTTTTAATTTCAATGGCCATGCATGGCTGATATAAGATTTGTGACTACAGAAATTATTTTGACTGAAAGAAGGAAACCTTCAGTCTTATATCCTGAAATTATTCTAAAATCTGTATCATGTCTCCTAAGGATGTAATGACCTGTATCAAAACTAAGTATGCTTAAGCCCAAGTTCTGCCCAACCTATGATTTTAAGTATGAGCATGTACAGAATGTAAATATGTACACTACAGCTAGGAATATGTATACATTTATCTTAATTCTTGAATAACACTTATTTAGTTGACATATCTTTCTAAAGTTTAAGTCGAAATTTATAAACTTTTATATTTCAACTTTTGGCACAATCAAAAGTGGTCCTAGGTTCAAACTATAAAACATGTTGTGGAAACAAACATCTCTTCATAATATAAACTTTGACTGTTATCCCTTTATGCACTTTGCATGATTAAAAGATGAAACAATCATCCATTGTCTCGGAAAATGTCAAGTGGATCAGACACTCCCTAAGAGATTTAAGTCTCTAATAGATCATTACATAACCATTTGCTTTTAACAAAAACTTCATTGGAATGGTATCAGAAACTTGCAATCTCACTGATAATGCAATATTTCATGTTATCAAGTTTTATATCTGCAAATCTAGATGCACAACTGCACACTGCTATGCACTCATCAATAGCACCATTTACCATTATACAGCTCAAATTACCCACTTAAGAACTTTTAGTCAGGTTGAAGAAATTGAAATTTTTTAAAACTTCTTAGAAATCTCTACATGTCTCTGTTAATACAGGTGTTATCAAAATATTTTATAGTATTAATGAGTTAAGTTTTATCTATCTATTATACAAGTTTTGCTCTCTGTCCATTCAATGATAATTTTCTTTTTTTTTCTATGATTGTAGAGCATTTAACCACATAATCATATTTGCATAAGTGTAAGGGTGCACAAAGTCGCAGAAGAAAATAGTTCGTGTTGTTTCACCTAAATTTCAAGATATTTTGACCACATCAACGTTTAGACGACAGAATGTTACACAGCGCCGTTTACACACGCAACAAATGCAATTGTTATCAGCAATAAGCCCCGGTCACAGGTCCGAATTGTTAACGATGATTTCTGCACTTATTCTGTTTACAACTTGACAGAATACGTAATACTGGTCTAAATGGGTATGACATATGACGGCGTGTAAGTACAACACGAACGTAAACTGTATTTACGCTATTTCGTGAGGACCAAACTTGACGTGTTCATATCATGCTCAGCGCGTTTGTGAATAGATGAAGCGTGACGATGAAAACAAGCTCAAACTTCAAAAACTTTCATGTATGGTAGATAAGTTAATTAAAGAATAAAACATAACTGAAATATCATATCTGATTAATTTTCTTAAGTACTTTCCGCTAGGTAATCGTCAGTGCGTACTGTAACAAATTATCATTTTCAGAGTTACTCGTCATCTTTTACCTTGTTTTGGTAGCACCATTCTTGAATTTTAGCGCGACCTGCTCACACGTTCGACCGGAAGTGAATGATAAAATATAGTCCTACAATGTATACCTAAAAAAATCTGTAAAGTTGTTCAAGTAACATCGAAATTTATCCTGAATCTGTTGGTATATTGTGCCACACGAATTTAGCTTTTGTTGTCTTAATAATGATGTCAGAATGTTTCAAATATTTTCCCGCCATGTGTCATTCACAGTGGCTTGTTTACATTTGGTGGAGCAGACGGATGAGAAGGAGCCAGTCAACCGCTGTCAGCGAAATATGGTATAGTCCATGTCTTACCAAGCTATTTTTGTTTTGTTGCCCAAGAAGTTTGTAGATTTACCTTATGATGATAACTTCATGACCGAATCCCCTTGTTCTACCACTATCCACAAGCTTAGATGCTAAACAATATAGTTACTTCCCTTTTCCTGCATGTTTTCCCAATTAGACTTGCACAAGTCTCTTAGTATGATTTCCAGTTAATAATTGCAGGTTGTGATAGATGTGGCGAGAAATACCTTAACTGGAAGTTCGAACTTCTCAAATAATCGGTGACATGATGTTAACTTGGAAATACAAATCACTTAATGAAGCATTATAGCAAACACTTGAAGTGACTAAATCAGAGGACACTTGAAGTGACTAAATCAGAGGTCACTTGAAGTGACTAAATCAGAGGTCCACTGTATCCCAACTCTTGGAACATACAGTATTAGTGGTTTCAGCATTAAATTAAAACTATTTTGATACCTACCAAACGTTATACCCTTATAAGGAGAAAATGAATCTCATTCTGACTTCAGTGGACATTATCAAGATTTGAGAGATGGAAAAAAAAATGCTATGATTACTTTTTTGTATGAGTGAGGGATGCTTTTATGAACTCATCCTAATAAAATCATCCTATGTCTGTGGTCTGTCATTCAGTCATTCATCTGTCCATATATATCTTTGATATTTCTTGAGAGGCACTGGATGGGTCTTTCTGAAATTTCATTTGAATATTCCACATGGTCCCTAATTGAGCCCTTTTGATATTGAGACTCGTGATATAAAAAAACAATGGATTTTGACAATGATAGATTTTAATGCTTTTTCTTGAGAAGAACTGTAAGGTTCTTTTGAAAATTTCGTATGTAGATTACTCTTGGTTAATAGTTGTGCCCTTTTGATTTTGGGAATGATTAAAAGAACAAAATTGCTGATAGGCAGCCATCTTATAATTTGACAATGAAATTTTGCTATCACTATTTCTTGAGAAGAACTAAACTTTCTCATATTTCTAACATATGTCTTTCTTGGTCCTTAGTTGTGCCCACTTGATTTTGGTGAATGATCAGAACAATCAAATGGCTGGCGGGTGGTCATCTTAAGATTTTTGGCAATGAATGTTTGCTCTATATTTATTGAGTATTGGACTGATTTTTCTCAAATTTCACATGAATGTTCCCTTTGGTTACCAGTTGTACCCTTTTTGATTTTACATCTGATCAGAAAAATGCAAAATGTTATTATAATTTGATAATTTCTTGTGCAATTTACTTGTTTCCTTCAATTTTAGATGGGGTTCTTTTTCTGATTTAAGCAAGAAAATTGGCCACATAAGATTTGAATAAAGAAAAACCTACACATTTTGGGAATTATCAAAAAATATTGAATATTTTCATATGGGAATTTGACAACTTCATTATTGCCCCAAAAAGTTCTTACAGAAATACTTGATTGTCTGAACTGATCCTTTTTAAATTTATTTTTTTATTGTAATTAGGGTTTAGCATCACCCTTTGATTGACCACATTAGAATTTCAAACAATGAAGGGATCAATACCATGTAAGAATATTTTAAAGAATTTGGAAGAAAATCTTTTGGTGACAATTAGGACTTTTACTAAAGTTAAATGTAAAAATGTCAACTAAAGCTTGAAACCACCATGGGTTTTTTCTGCCTAATGAATACATCTGTTTCAGGAGAAGACTGGAGGTGTTTTGATTGCTCCCTATCTGCTATGAGCTACTGTACCAGCTTATACTGTGGTCTCCTACCATTCTGCAGACAGACTATCCCCTCTGTGTCTATAAATAACTTTGGATCTGAGATGAGGAGCAGCTCTCCGATTACTTGTTTGCTTTATAAGGAACTGCCAGCTTCATCACACTGCCACCTATATGTGGAGAACAGGTACAGACCCTTCATTTCTTCTGGATCTGCGGAACCAACCATTCTCAATCAGGGAGGAACAGGTAGGAAACTTCTTTTGTTAAATATTAACTTTCTTAATAAGGTGTTTTTATTCTTTTCATCTATTTATCTACTTACATACTGGTTAAAATAAATTTTACTGGAATATGAAATGATTGTTTATATGTTGTTGAGAACATTGTTGACAAGATTTATTTAGTGGGACCTAGATTTAACCTATGGCCCCTACTTTTAGAGGTTGATTCAGTAGAGTTGGTCTGAAGTTGTTCATGTAAAAGATGAGACTGGACCACTGATTGCTTCTTCAGTCTACATTCCAGCTGCAGGCTAAACTCTCTCTGGCGGCCATTTTTGTTTTCGACATTTCTAGGTAGGACATGTTATACTTTCTATTTTGATTGAATGTGATGTTTCCTTTCCTTCATATTAAACTCCTCCATCCGACACGGACTCTGTCTGCAATAGATCTCCACCCCTTCCTGCCCAACTCCACCCAAACCCAAACCCATTCCCTGTTACCTCATATATAATACATTTTGTTTTTTAGTTTTAGAAATAGTTGCATGAGTTTAAAAGAATAGTTTGAGTCTGTTTTTAGTTCTATGCCTGACATGGAATTGCTATCATTTACCGATCAAGTAATTTCTAAAATGAAAACTGATAGTTCAGTTCTGAATATTAATTCAGCTGTGGTCATTCTGATCAAGGTCATTAATGAAATCAAGAAAAATATCATCAAATGTCGAATTAGTTTAAAGCTACATTTTCTAAAGAGAAATGACACTTGTGTGTATTTAAACATGGTACATGTAAGTAAAACATTTTGTGATAGATCAGGATTTAAGGTGTACTTCAACAACAAAAAATGATAATAGAATGATTTGATTTTGTAAGTACTAGTCTTAAGAATACGTTATATGTCTCTCAGTGCATTTGTGAAGATTTCTCGTTTTCCATCACTGTTCAGATAAAAATTTATCTGTACCACTGAAACTGATTGTTTTATCTAGATTGGTCATTGTCATATTCTGTAATCTTGATAGTCAGTTGTCGAAATGTTTTATTCAGACTGTATATTGTTGAATTGAATTGTCTTTATGGGCAGTTGTCAGATATCGTTGGACTTTCAATGCTC